CCATTATAGTTTTCCTCTGTGGCATCATCGGGACGGGAAAGGCATTCTCGCTCGCGATCTCATCGATGAAAAGAGTAACCCTTTACGACCAGTGAATATTACGCGTCCGACCTAGATTTTGTGAGCACGTTCATCTATCATCCCGTCGACCGCGGATTCGTTATTGAATCATTGTCATCATCATGTCATTAGTTTGGATCAACTAGGATCATTGTCATTAGTTTCTCGAGTACCTAACTACCGCGGTTACTTGTCCGGTTCTATAATAATCGTATTTGCACTAGTCAATGTCTTCTCTATTGCATAGCGACAACGTGTAACCCAAACGAAGATTCGTTTCACGCTCCTAACCCTAATTCTAATGTAAACCCGACATATAAATATTCACAGAAAAAAATCTGGCTGGCTCTTATCCATTTGTGTTCTCAATATCTTTTTCTAAGTTTATCATTATCTTTTGTACATTAATCACACTGGAATGCAATTTATCCATTAGCGTTTCCATTGATCGCATTGCTTAAATGAATCTGAAGCTTTTAGGATACTCTAACAATTGAGTTACGTTAGTTAAACAAATTCTGTAATAAATATCGATTCCGTACTTGATGGGACGTGCGCTGCTCGTACAGTTGTAAACTTTGACCCTATTATCAATATGTAGCGTGACGTGCCACGCGGCACACATTATCACATCGACTACATAATCAATAGGCACTATATCTGATATTACATCTGCCTTACCCAATAATACTTTTGCAATACCATTGCCGATATTCATGAAGATACCTGCAACGTCAAATTGGTTCAAAAGTTATTAATGATTTTCAACTGTCTCGAAATGTAGCGACACGGATAGGGGAAGAGTAGCTGTAATTGACAGTAAAAACACAGGTTAAATAATGGCGATCCGGTAAAAATTAGTCAACTAGCTTCTCAGAAATTAATTACAACTATATTTTTCTGAATCTTTTAACTTTATTACCTAAAAATGCTTATGTTGTTCGGCTTCGCAAATAACTCATAGCGATGAGTGTATCTGTTGAAAGAAGAAGTCGTATAATCAATAATATAATCAGTCGTACATCTTAACTTGAATTTTAGGGAATAACGTTTGTAATGTCACAACTGATTTTTCTTTTTATCGTGGAGTTGATCAGCGTAATCTCTTCTGTGCAGATCGTTTCTCATAATCAAAACGATTATGATAACTGACTACATCTGTTTTTAATTTCAAGATTATATACGGGAATTAAATGAATTTTCATATCGCACAAGAAGACTGAGTAATTCTAAACGTTGTTTGCGTCATTTCCTCCCTTTGTACGTCGTAGGTGACAAACACGATTTTGCTTCGCGCCGCTTAACGTTCTGTACTCTCAACGGCTATTCGACGTTCTCGACGAGTAATCTCCCTTTTACTGTTAAACGATTGACTGGAATCTGAGCTAACACACAGGCCACATCAGAGTCTACAATCTTATAACAATAACCAACCTTCTTTCATATCAGCAATTTCTTTATGATATGTTCGAAAGCATACAGCGTCAACTTCTGCGTTTCAACAACAGTAGCCACAATAGTCATATGGACGAGGATGCGCTAACCACTAGTACACCAACTGACAATCACTACACCATACCCAAAGCAACAGCACAAGAAATCAGAAACATAATTGAGAGAACAAAAAATAATAAAGCACCAGGAATCGACCTAATTAACGGCAAAATCTTGAAAAACCTTCCGCCAAAAGCGATAAGACAAATCACAATAATAGTTAACGCAATACTAAGAATACAATACTTTCCAAAAACTTGAAAACTGGCACAAATCATAATGATACCCAAACCAGGCAAGGACCCACACGAAACCAAATCCTACCGACCAATCTCACTACTTCCGGTGTTCTCTAAGATACTAGAGAAAATAATCTACGACCGGATAAAACCAATAATAGAGAAGAACTATTTAATACCGGATCACCAATTCGGATTCAGAAACAAACACTTCACAATAGAACAAACGCACAGACTCGTCAATGAAATCCTACAGGCGCTGGAAACAAAACAATACTGCGCGGCACTCTTTATGGACATCGAAAAAGCATTCCTTAAAATAAACCACACTAGCCTACTACAATCAATCAGGAAACAGTTCCCGGGGCAGATATACCTACTAATCAAATCATACCTAAGCAGCAGGAGCTTCATAGTAAAAATCAAAAACACACACTCGGAAGCTAAAGAAATCAAGGCAGGAGTTCCGCAAGGAAGCGTCCTAGGACCAACTTTATACACATTATACGACCAACGTACCAACAACTAACAACAGCAAAATACTGACATTCGCGGATGACACAGCTGTACTAGTCAGGCACACTAACTCTGCAACAGCAGTTACATTACTACAAGAACATATCACAAAAATAGAAAAGTGGCTTCAAGCAAAACAAATCAAAGCAAACCCCGAAAAATGCAAACACATTACATTCACACTGCGAAAACAGAAACCACCAAACATTGTACTAAACGGCACACGCATAATACAAACAAGGCAAGTCAAATACCTAGGACTCCACTTAGATTCACGACACACATGGAAACAGCATATTACAGCAACAATAGACAAAATACAGATGGCAAGGAGTGCAAATGTACTGGCTAACAAGTCGAAAATCCAAACTAAGCATAGAGAACAAACTAAAAATATATAAAATGGTTATAAAACCAATCTGGACGTACGGAATAGCAGTATGGGGAACAGCAGCAATGAGCCATATAACCAAAATAGAGGCAACGCAATCGAAAATACTCAGAACAATAATAAACGCCCCATGGTACATCAGGAACGAGGATATTCGGAAAGACCTGAGAATACCAACGGTCAAGGAGCAGATTAATAAAAGTGCAAGAAGGCACGGAGAAAGAATAGCAACGCACCCAAACCGGCTGGCAGCGGAAACGGTCCACACATCAAGCATAAAAGGAAGATTAAAAAGGAGACACCCAACAGATCTCACAAAGGACATAACCTAACAAACACGATGATGGTACCCCGCCGGGGGTAGCCACCCACATGTTCTGCTGGGGGTAGCCACCCACATGTTATATTAGCACACCGCTATAATATTTTACCAAATGTCCTACTGGACAAATTGTAAAATTGTAAAATAAATAAATAAAAAAAAAAAACTTCTGCGTTTGGCCACACGTTGAATAAGTAGTCCAATGCTAATATATATCCATCGCATATATTATATAATTATTTAAAATTATTGCCTCTTAAACAGAAATATATTATATTTCGCTCATTGTTGCCAGATAAAATGTTTAATGATATTACCGTGTGCTTTAAAATTTTATGTTGTTTCACGTTAAATACATCATGTACATCGTAACAAAGAATATCCTACTGTCTCGAGGGGCGCATCGCACGTCTTATGCTTAATTTAATTCCATTTAATTCCATAATACTATACTACACTACACATTTTAGGCTGAAACTAACTGCTTGTAATTGGATTATATGTTGAAGGTTCATATCCCCGTAATTAAGTTAATAAAAAAAGAAATAACGGTATCATGAACTAATTTTTATAGCGCAATAAGCAAAAAGTATTGTGGCGGCACTTGACAGTAAATTTCCCAACAGTTTATGTCGCGTGACGCACGACACAAAGACCCTATACGTGCGGACAAGATGATTGCCAGATGTCGATACATTCGTACCGAATATTTCCAGCTAGCCTAAGGACCGCTATAAATCTTAGAAATTATTTTAGCTAAGGTCCTCCAAAGAGACAAACAGTCTTTGTTTATCAGTCTCGAAGTCGACCACCTACCACGGGGACACACGAGAAAACACACGAGAAATCTGCCATCTCGCACGTAGGACGCTTTCCGCTAGCAACACCCTCTCAAGGGCAGCTAGCATCCTTTTCCAACGATCAACACGAATTAGCCAATAAGTAAACGTTAACGTACATTTCCCTCACTTTCCGAACCAAAGCTTTCCTCAACGAATCCGATGCCCTCGCATCTTTAGACACATCCCAACACAGTTTTCCTTCGCAGCAGCATCGTGACGGAAAGTCAGTCTGTTACAGTAGCGCATCTCGAATCATAGCTATCCGAGCTCTAACTTGTAACCGCGCATTCGCGAACCGAATATAATCGCGAGTCCTGCGTCAAGTGTACTCATCGACATTACAGTGAATAAACGTTTATCGTTGAATAAATCTGAGTTTTCCTTCCGACCCTTCAGTATATTTCCATATACGTAACCTTCAGAATGTACGAGTTAAAAATTGTCACAGTTTTATTCTATTGCTGATTTCTTTCATTCTTATGAAAATTATGGAGAGCTAAGGTCTTGTGATACGAGTGACTTGTATTATTCGGAATCACTTGGATGTAATGAAACGCTCTTACTTGCGATATGAGTGAGATATGAAGTGACGAGGGATTGCCATTGTAAATATTTATAAAAATACCTGATTGTCCAGCAAAAGATACCAACCAACCAGGGTATGGTTCTTTTAGCGAGCAACAAATTATACTTGGTCGTACTATCGCAACAGTCAATCCTTTGCTATTGTTGGATATTGTCTGCTCTGCAAGATTCTTGGTGAACGTGTATGTATTTGGATACGTTTTTAAAATTCTTTCTTCGAGCA